CGGGACCTTGGGGTGGGGAGGGGTGGTGGGTCCCTGTAGGACCTTCCAGTATCTCCTACCCCTCCATGTCCCTGTAGGACCTTCAGGTTCCTCCTCCATGTCCCCATGGGACCTTCAGGTTCCTTCTACACCTCCCTGTAGGACCTTCAGGTTCCTCCCCCACCTCCATGTCCCTGTAGGACCTTCAGGTTCCTCCTCCACCTCCATGTCCCTGTAGGACCTTCAGGTTCCTCCCCCACCTCCATGTCCCTGTAGGACCTTCAGGTTCTTCCTACACCTCCACATCCCCATGGGACCTTCAGGTTCCTCCAACCACTCCACGTCCCTGTAGGACCTTCAGGTACCTCCTCCACCTCCCTGTAGGACCTTCAGGTTCCTCCTACACCTCCCTGTAGGACCTTCAGGTTCCTCCTACACCTCCATGTCCCCATGGGATCTTCAGGTTCCTCCTTGACCTCTACGTCCCCATGGGACCTTCAGGTTCCTCCAACCCCTCCACGTCCCCATGGACAGGTACCTTCAGGTAGCCCTGCAGAGCCTTGACCTGCTTCTGGGCCTCGTTGGCGCCGCGGTTGGCGTGGCTGAGCTGGATCTCCATCTCATTGAGGTCGCCCTCCATCTTCTTCTTCAGCCTGAGGGCCTCGTTGCGGCTCCGTGTCTCGGCGTCCAGCGAGGTCTGGAGCGACTCCACCACCCGAAGGTGGTTGCGCTTCACCTGCTCCATCTCCTCCTCCTTCTCCCCCAGCTTCCGCTCGTACTCGGCCTTCACCTGGTTGAACTCCAGCTGTCCCCTCAGGATCTTCCCCTCCTCGTGCTCCAGGGACGCCTTGGTGGGTGGACAGAGAGGACCTTGAAGACCACAGAAGATGGGCGTCCCACCAGGAGAACGTCGGGATGGGGATTGTCCCACCTCAGCTTCTTCCAGAGCAGCTTGGAGCTCCATCTTCTCAGCCTCCAGCTGTTTCCGGACCTTCTCCAGCTCGTGGATGGATTTGTTGCCGGCGCCGAGCTGCTCCGTGAGGTCCGAGATCTCCTCTGCCCAGGTGAGACCTCAGTGAGACCTCTTGGGAATGGGTGGGGAGCACCAAAGTGGGGCTCCTCCCAGGTTCCTCGCCCAGGTGGGCAGAGGAACCTGAGGTGTCACCTTGGAGATTCTTGTTCTCCCTCTTGAAGGTCTCCAGGTGCTCCAGGGACTCCTCGTAGATGTTCCTCAGCTTGAAGATGTCAGTGCTGAGGGCCCTGGCCTCCTTCTGAGACGCCTCCAGCTCCGTCTGTGACTCCTCGAACTTCTGCTTCCACTCAGCCAGGACCTGAGGACCACCAGGTGTCACCCCATGACCACCTGGCCCCACCCCACCACCTCCAACCCACCACAGATGTCCACCTTGTCGAAGTTCCTCTGCTTCTTGTCCAGAGCGGCGGCGGCTGCGTTGGAGCGCTCCACGTCGGCCATCAGGTCCTCGATCTCGTTCTGCAGACGGTGCTTGGTCTTCTCCAGCGAGGAGCATTTGGCGTTGACGGCCTCCACGGCCTCCTCGGCCTCCTGCAGACGCTGAGCCAACTTCTTCCTGCCCCAGGGACCACCTGAGGTCACCCGTGGGCCAGGTGGGGCCATTCAAACCTTCTCCCACCGGCCATTGGTCAAAGTTCTGCTCTGCTTCTGCTCTACCATCTCCAGGTCATTCTACCTTCTCCAGAACCTTCTCCTGTGGGTGGTCTCCACCCTCTGACCTAATAGAAGCTCCACCCATGAGGAGATGACTCAGAATCCTCCAAAACCTTCTTGAGAACCTTCTCCTGTGGGTGATCTCCACCCATGAGGAGGTGACTCACTTGGCCTCCTCCAAACCTTCTCCAGAACATTCTCCTGTGGGTGGTCTCCACCCCTGACCCCACAGAAGCTCCACCCATGAGGAAATGACTCAGATTCCTCCAAACCTTCTTGAGAACATTCTCCTATGGGTGGTCTCCACCCCTGACCCCTCAGAACTCCATCCATGAGGAGATGACTCAGATTCCTCCAAACCTTCTTGAGAACATTCTCCTGTGGGTGATCTCCACCCCTGACCCCACAGAAGCTCCACCCATGAGGAGATGACTCACTTGGCCTCCTCCAGCTCCTCGGTCCGTTGGATGGCATCTGTTTCATACTTGGTCCTCCACTGGGCCACCTCGGAGTTGGCCTTGGAGAGCGCGCGCTGGAGCTCGGCCTTGGCCTCGGTCTCCTCCTCGTACTGCTCCCGCAGAAGGTCCCCGTCGTGCCGGGCCGACTGCAGCGCGTGCGCCAGCGCGTTCTTGGCCTGGTGAGGAGAAGGTGACACCGTTGTCACCTTCTCCTCAGGTCCAGGTCACCTGGAGACCTCCATGCCTCAGCAAGGGCTGGTCTTCATCACCACAACCCAACCAGAGCTTCTGTAGACAAAGCCAACCTTCTCCAGACCAACCCAACCCTATCTGGACCTTCTGTAGACCAAGCCAACCTTCTCCAGACCAAGCCAACCCTATT